ATATATATATATATATATGAATCAAAGACAGGTGGCCGAAAAGACGTGCCTGCGTCTCTGTGGTTTCTCTTTCGTTCTCGGGTTGTATATGAGATATAATGTGCAGTGCGTGTGTGGGAGGGGCACGTTAAAATGGTAATACTGTGTGCTTGCGAGGAACGGAATACAACAGAAAAAAAAGTGTAACTGTGCACATGTGTGTGTGTGTGTGTTTTCCCCCCTTCACGTGCTGCAGTGGCGGCGTCCCACGGCCGCTGCAACTGCGGCGCTGCTACACCATGAGAACGTGATGGGGCGAGGGGCAGGAAGGAAGAAAAGAAAAAAGAATGGAACAGGATTAGCTGCAGCAGCGACTCTCCCAGTTCAACGCGCTCGCGCGCGCGGAAACAGCGGGGACCTATCTGGCCACCGCGAGAGAGCGTTGACGAGAGTGAACAGATGAGCTGGAAACGTGGAAGGTGTGGTTTTTGCACCGGGCGGCAGAACTCAAAAACACACCGGTGTCTCTTCTATTGTCTGTTCTCGTTTGGCTTGCTACATCCACTTTGTTGTGATTTAGAGGCTGAGGTGCCGCTGTTGTCTGTTGGTTTCTGTGCGTCATATTGTATACGTATATGTATGTGGAGATGTGTATGTATCCACCCGTCTTTCGTTGTGTTCTCTATTCCTGCAATTTGTAATTGCTTGTTGTGTGTTTCCTGTCGTTGCTCCTTTCTTTATGACTGTCTCTTGTTATGTGTGTTTGTGTGTATGTTTGAAAGCGTTACTTTCCCCCCACAAAACCTTTTCGCTGTTGTTGTTGTTGTTGTTTGGTGTGCGCGTCTCTTTTAGTTACAAGCTGATGTTTTGTTTCCGAATTTTTCCTTGTTTTTTCCCCCTATTTCTCCCACACTCACTCGCTCGCTGTGTGTGTGTGTGTGTGTGTGTGTGTGGCATTTGTGTAGCACAACTCGGACCCTCCTGGTCACACCTGTACAGCTGGTGTGATATATCTTTCAATGCATTTGCTCTTTCTGTGTAATCCCCCTCACATTCCCTGCTTCCTCCCCCTATACTCATATATATATATATATATATCCATGCGCACATGCCTGGTGTTGTGAACGAAGAAAGAACAAAAAAAAACCGCAACGAGGACAACAATCGACCACTGTGCGGTATCAGAAGCAGGTAATTGAAGAGGAGGGGCAACAGAAGTTCGGGGCGGTTGAGACACGAGAGAATGAAGTGGTGATATAGCAAGCGAAGAGGGGTGGTGAAGACACACACCCCACGCACGCACATTTTTGGTGCTCTCTCTCACTCAACTTTTTTTTTTTTTCCTGCTTACCCCCTCCATTACCACCGGTGTTGTTGTAGTTGTTCTTGTAAGAACTGGTTCAGGTATGCCTTGGCACATGTGTCTCGGTGGGGCGAGGGCTTTTGCGTGTGCCAAGCACTTCTCCCGCCCCCCTCCACCCAAATCTCTACTGTGGCTGCTACCCTTACAGTTGTTCTTGTTCACTCTACTTTGTGGGGTCTGCTAGGTTTCATTTGATTTAGTGGAGGCAGTTGAGTCGTATAGTTATCGTTGATACGACGCCCACAGCAGGATGCACTTTAGACGTGCATTCCTCTCGCCCGCTCTCACCGACATCTTGCTCGTGTCACCGGCCCAACAAGGGCGGCAGGCGGCGTGCTCCTCGTCGTCCTGCATGCATCACGGACGCGTAACGTCATTCACCAGCAGTAGTTCGGTAAAATTTCGCCGTCGTGGCGTTCTGCTCGTCACTCTTTTACCAGCAGCACAGGGCTCTCCATTTCTCGTTTCATCGCTTTGGAATGCTCGTCGATTCGCCGCTTGTGGACGCACACCGACGTTTACGGAATTGTCAGAGGCTTTCTCTATTC